TTTTCTCTTCTGCGGGTACATCTACACAAGACATTTACTGCACAGTTGCCTAACTTCCCACGGCAAATGTCTCAGCGTCTACACGTGCATCCCTGTTAGGACACATGAAACTAATAAACTCTGCAGCAGGGTAGGACTTGTAAGTACAATGTCTCTCTCAGAAAGCAGTGGATATGTCTGATTCAGAAGTACTTAAGTCACCAGAATTGTAAAAGTCCTACCCTGCTGAGTCTTTTTTGTGCACAGCAACGCACATGTAGAGGCTGTCCCAGCTGGCTGGGGCACAACAGTGCTTCAGTGTTGGGTCTGCCTGCGTGCAGACACACACCCAGGAGCTTCCCAGAAGCAATACACTATGGATCAATAAGCTGCGCAGTTTATTGCTACCCCCTAATAGCATGTGTAGATGTGCCCTGCCTGTTCTTTCTAAACAGTTTGTACCCATCCATGACAGTACTCAACTCAGGCAGGCTATTCCACCTAGTCTCTGTTATTCTAATCACATAATAGCTCTGTGACTGTGCAAGGACTTCCAATTCTTCCTGCTTCTTTCCCAGACTCTATGCATTTGTATCCAGACACCCAAGGTAACCAGCTGATTGCCCTACTTTCTCAGGAAGAATGAGAAAGCCTCACTGTTGCCCCTTCCTGCTTGTGCCTCCTTCAGGTCACCCACTTCCCCACTTATCCCAGGGCTTTGGTCTCCATCCTGCAGTGAACCTAATTTAAAGCCCTCCTCATTGGGTTAGCAAACCTATCTGCAAAGATGATCTTCCCTCTCTTTGTCAGGTGGATCCTGTCACTTCCTAGCAACATTCCATGGCCGAAGAAGCCAAAGCCCCGCTGGCAACACCATCTGCATAGCCATGCATGGATCTGCAGGATGTGTCTGCTCCTGCCTGGGCCCTTCCCCTTGACTGGGCCCAGGCAGTATTGAGGAGGACACCACCTGAGCCCCTGTGTCCTTCACCCTTGCACCATTGCCCTGTAATTACTTTTGATCTGCTCATTATCACCCCTGACAGTATTATTCATGCCCACCTGGATGAGCAGCATGGGGTAGTAGTCAGAGGGCTGGATGAGTCTTGGTAAACCTTCCGTGACATCTTAGATCTCGGCAAGCAAACAGACCTCCCGAGACAGTGTGTCAGACCAGGAAGTAAATGCTTCTATCCCCTATAGAAGGGAGTGTCTAACCACTACCACCCATCACTTCCTCTCAGTGGCAGTGGTTTTGGTCCTCCCAACCTTGGGGATGCCTAGTCTGTCCTCTTCCACCAACAGCATGTACTTTCCTCTTCTGTTGCTAGGACTCCATAACTGATTTTCCCACCAGGCAAACTCACTGCAGGTGTGGATAAAGACTTCTTGCTGCCAGAAGTCACAAGCTTCCAGCTTCCTGAGAGTCCATATCCTCCTCCTTCTCCAGTACCACCTCTGGCAATCCTTCCTCTGCAGTCCTAGAAGTCCAGCACTGAATTGATGAAGTCCTTATGGAGCCTCACCACCTCTTCCTGTAGCTCTCTTACCTGCTGCCTGAAGGATACCACCAAGGGGCACTACTCACATTGCAGGCACTCCCCCACCTGGCTGCCACTGGAAGAACCCTGAAAGCTGCAGTCTCTACAGTGCCAAACCAGGACCTGGACAGTGGACGGTCCTGGCTGGAAAGACACCTTGCAGGTACAAGCAGAGAAAGAGTTGGCAGTTGGTATTGTGATGTCCTCCAGCCATGTCTCTGGATCTCCTAAATCAGCCACCTTTCTCTTCCTGCCCCTTTCTCCAAGAGAACCTTCCCTAGCCAACTCCCTTGAAAGCTGGCCTGTTCACCTTGGCCCTGAAAGTTTCTCTTTTTCCTACTAACCTGCTTCCTCTCACCAAGCTTACAGTGAAGGAAGGTGAGATAGTTTTCAAGCAAACTCCCTAGAGAACTCCCCACTCACTCTGGACTCTAGCGAAACAAAGGATTGAATTCTTGGTCTCGTGCTTAATATATGTAGCTTAGTTACTCTTATTTAAGGAAAGAGCTAACTATACAGGCTCCCCTTCAAAGAAGTGGGGTAGCAAATTGAACTGTGAACTGTCTTACAAACTGCTTGCAAACTGCCCTGTTTGCTGCCCCTCTTCACTCGCTCCCTGGTCTCTCGGGCACTCTCCTTTTATACCCTTCTGGGCCTATGGCTCTGTCCCCTCCTGGTTAGGGTTTTTGTCAGACATAGGCAGCAATCACGCAGCTAGCAGCACTCCCAGCTGCTCAGGGCATGTGTCCAAACACACTGTCCAACAAGCCAAACACACAAGCAACCCTTGTTTACTTACCTTTCCAGAGTGGGATATGGTTGGTGCCTAGCGCCTAGCTCACTGGCGATGCGTAGGGGGCACATGCGGGTGCCCTCACTGAGATTGGTGGTGCACCCACCTGTGGGTGGTTGCCACTTGCCGCCACCCCCCCCTTTGCTGCCAACACC